GCAATCTAAAAACCATTCGAGGTGGAGCGAGGATGCCGACTATCTGCAGAACATTCAAATACGCAGAACGTTCGCGTAGCATTTGGCAGGGTGTAAATGTAAAATGTATGTTTTGCAAAAGCTACGATTTCTAAACCCTATGATTTCAAAGCGATAAGCGTCTGTCCAATCGTAGTACACTCCTGTGTTTTTTTGTTATGTTCGAACGTAATTGTTTATGTATGGAATATATCATGTGTGGGAAATAAAAATGATAGGGTTTGTTGCTATATTATTAGTGGGGTCATCACCTGCTGCGAGCACTGTGAATGGTTGTCGCTGCAAACTAAAAGTATCATGCTCAGTACGAGTCACTCAATTGTCAACCTCTAAGACAAGGTCAATTTAAACAAAGTCATGCATAAATAAGAGCGCAACCGGTGGTTCAGAAAAGAAACCGGTTAACGAGCCGGTACTTCGGGTCCGTGCAGCACGGAACCACATGTGCAAGGCTCAGGATGCTGTCCACGTCCACAACGGCATAGTTGTCGATGCCCAAGGTTGGCGTCAGGCGCTTGCACCTGGTGATGGGGCAAGGCTTCTGCGCCTCGGTGTAGTACTGGATGAACGCCCCGCGCTTCTCCACCTCCCCATCCTGGTAATGGAAAAGCACCAGGACACGACCATACCACGGCTCCCCCACGCCGCCGCCAGGCCTGATCGAGACGTCAGAGAAGAGGCGCTCGTGAGGGCTCGCCTTCACGAACTGGCCCTTTGAGGTCCACTCCATGCTGTCATGGGGGGGGATGGCCATGGCTGTGTGGACCTGGGTTTAGGGTAGGGGGCAATGGGGGGAGTTCAGGGAAGGCGGGTGGGTGTAGAGAGGGGGCACGAGTGTGCCTTGAATTATCGTAGATGGGAGGGCAGCGCTTGGCAAGGAGGCATGGTACCATGGCACATGATAGTCATATTGTATGATTAGACGGATTGAGCTCAGGAGGGATAGAGGGGAGACGTGGACAGAGGGGCCACGGTAGGGTTTAGGGTGTGGAAAAAAGAGAGCCCGGTCCCACCAAATTGCTGCCATTCCATGCCATTCACTGGCCAAACCCCACCAATCCCACTGGTACCGCTCCCAAGGCCCCCTCCCCGTCCACTTGACTCATTCCTTGCTATTCCCTGACTCTCTCTCCAAATCCTGCGAGAGCTTGCTGTTCGCGGCCCTTTCCCTCCCACTCCCACTCCCATTCTCAGTGATTCCTTCCTACCCCGTTCCCTCCAATTCCCCCCCATCCCCGTGCATTCCCTCCTATTTCCTCCCATCCCCGTCCATGGCCTCCCATTCCCTCCCATCTCTGTCCATACCCTCCCATTCCATGCCATGCCCATTTATTAAATGGGACCCTAAGAGCTGAGGTAGCCAAGTAGTCAATGCAGTCTCCCATTCCATGCCATCCCCATCCATTCCCTCCCATCCCTGGGATACCCTCCCAGGCCATGCGATCCCCGTCCATTCCCTCCCATCGCTGTTCATACCCTCCCATTCCATGCCATCCCCATCCATTCCCTCCCATCGCTGTCCATACCCTCCCATTCCATGCCTTCCCAATCCATTCCCTCCCGTCCCTGTCCATACCCTCCCATTCCATGCCATGCCCATACATTCCCTCCCATCACTGTCCATTCCGTCCCTTGACCTTCCAAGCCATACCACTCCCTCCCACTCACGGCCATCTCCTCCCTGCCATAAGGTGCCCAGTCACCCTGCCACTCCCTGCCCCGCCCTCACGTTCCATCCCAATCCCCAAACCCATGCCTCAGGGTCTAGTTAACGTACAAAGATTGTCCGCGTCTTAATCTTGGCGAGGCGAAGGCGCTCCTCCAGTTCGTGCATCGCCAGCACCCCCGCGGTCCTCATGTAATTGCGGAAGACAGGATCCCGTGTGTCCCCCGCTTCCATCTTCTTGTGGGTCTTGGTGAGGACACGCTGGTTCCTCAGGGATGCCTGTGCCGTGTATGGCATTTGGAGGATGGAAGCGGCAGTGGCGTGTTAGGCACGAGGTTGTTACGGGGTTGGCTAAGGGGTAGGTCCGTCTATACACTTGGAGAAATATGGGAATAGGGCAGCTAGGGTACCTGGAAACGCATGGAGTTCGAATCCCTCCACCCCTTTGGCCACCCATCAAACCGCTCCATACCTGCTTCATGGCCGTCTCGTACGACGCGTCGCCCCCGACCTCGCGGGTTAGCTGACGCACCACAGCGTGTTGGATGTGCTTCTTGACGATGCGCTCCCCCACATTCTTCCAGTTTGACCCGCGAGATGGCCTCTTCACTGTTGTTTTGTGTCCGTGCTCGTAGCAGTTCGATGAGTACTCCTGGGGGACGCCGCGTGCCGTGATAGAGGAGGTGACGTGGCTGACGCCATGTATCTTCACGATGTGCCACTTCGACTTCTGGTTGTCAAATGCCACCTCTAGTAAAGCCACCATCCTACTAGGGAGCGTGCACGGATGGATAGTGTGAGACGTGCAGAGGGGAAAAGGTTGCACAAACGCTTCAAAAGAGGTGACTGACACGGGGTGCGAGGAAGAGAAACTCTAAAGGGTTTAGGGTGGGGGAAGGGAACCAGGTTCTGGACAGAGGTAGAGACGAGGTAGTGGAGAAATTCCCACCCAGGGTTGAAGTGAATTTCATGAGGGAATCATCCTGGCTGGCCGTCCAACCAGGGGATGTTATATGGTGAGCTAGCACGGGAAGGGCAGACCCTGGTTGTGTGGAAGACCAGGGAGGAAGTAGGGAATTAGGGAGTGAACGGACGCACCGGATGAACAGACCCTTATTGACCTGTAGACCAGGGGAGGATAGAGGGATCAAGGGAGCGAAGGTAGGGATTAGAGTGTTAAGGGTATACCTTATTCGAAAGAAGGAACAGTGGGGAACGACGGGACCAGAGGATGTAAGGGAGGGACCGGAACGAGTAGGGCAGACCCTGGTTACATACGTTACCTGTGGTGGACGGCGGGTCTGGGGGATGGGCAATGTACCAAGGGAATTAGGAGTAGAGAAAGGGTTTCAGGGGGGACCATGGGGGTGAAGGAATGGAGCAGAACGGAGAAGGCAGATCCCACCTGAATGAAGGACCACGAGATTAAGGAGGGAGCAGAACGGGATGGGCAGAGTAGAAGAGTAGGAAGGGAGCAGAACGGGATGGGCAGAGTAGAAGAGTAGGAAGGGAGCAGAACGGGATGGGCAGACCCCGCCTGAATAAATGACCAGGGGATGGAAGGAGGGAGCGGTGGATGGAAGGAGGGACCAGGGGATGGAAGGATGGAGCGGGGATGGAAGGAGGGACCAGGGGATGTAAAAGCAGGGGACCATTGTAATAGGGAAGGATCAGATGACTAGTGCACGGGGTGGGGACGATATACAGTGGAACCAAATGTCCCAGTGCGTGAGCCGACTCACTCTGTGGCGGACTCGTCCATCTTCTTGAGGCTGGAGTCGGTGTGGTACTCCGCACGTATGAACTGCTTGTACCAACTCGTTATCGCCAGGACCGCCTTGTAGATGTCGTCGCGGCCCGGAAGATACAGAATCAGCGGGAGCACCTGCATCATAGCACGGTGCTCTGATGCTGCGAAACCCGCCGTCGTAGTGAAGTACATCCACGCCCCTGGGAGCCTGAGCAGGAATGACGGCGTCACAGCCTTCAGAGCGTTGAAACGCCTGCCATGAGTGTGAGAAAGCGGGTGGGCATGGATGAGTGGTCTGGGTGGAAGAGAGCCTCCATGGCCAAGCGTGTTTGGGGCAAGAGAGAGCAACCGGGCACTTACGTACTCAAGCAAGATCTTCCGCTCCTTCCTCGTCAGCTTGGCAGCCAAGCACCGCATCGCATGGAGCCAGAAGCCCTGTTCAATCATGTGCATGATGTCTGGCGGAAGAGCAAGGTAGATGTTGCCCCACGAAGTGGTTGAGAACTCCCACTTCCAAAGCACACACTGCACAGCAGACACGATATGAATGCAAAGGCAGGAATGCATGGGCATGAATGCAACGACAGGAATGCAAATACAGGAATGCAGGGGCATGAATGCAAAGGCGGGAATGCAAAGACAGGAATGCAAAGGCAGGAATGCAAATGCAGGAAGGCAAAGACAGGAATGCAAAGGCAGGAATGCAAAGGCAGGAAGGCAAAGACAGGAAGGCAAAGATACAAATGCAAATGCAGGAATGCAAAGACAAGATTGCTTACACAGAAATGCAAGGGTTGGGATGCATGGGACTCGGTCAAAGGGCAGGAATGCAAGGGCATGAATGCAAAGACAGGAATGTTATGGCATGCGGGTACGGAGCTTACAGCAGCTTAGGAAACGCAGTGCATGGGCGACCTACAGGCACTTGGTGCGTGGACCACTTGGCCTTAAGAGCGGCCAGCTCCTTCTTCTTCTTGGCTCGTACTGCTCGCTGCATCTTCTTGTAGATGAGCTTCTGTCCCTTCACCGTGCGGTTGATAGTGTCCGGCTGGACCTTGTTCAGGTTGTCCCGATCCACAAGGCAGATGGAGCAGGGCCTGAAGGACTTGCACTGCATCGTGCAAGAAACCTTGCACCCCTCCGGGTGATCAGTCACATAGGCATAGAGCACCGGGTAGACCGTGTGCTCCCCCCCGCATGATCCACCACCTGTATCCCCCCCCTGGAAACCGCAAAAGTAGCATGCAAGGATGAGAGCCGCACTGGGGATGCTGGGGGGTACAACATAGTCGTTGCATTGCTACACGACATCTCACCCGTCAAGCTGGGATGTCTCCATGAGCGGGTTTGCCACAATGTCCAGCGCATCTTGGAAGGCGGCACACTTCTGTTCGGGGAACAGGTCACCAGGAATGTTAGGCAGATTGCCTATCATCTCCGTGCCCCCCTCCGCCCACCTTGCCCACTCCGGCGTGTTTGCGAATGCCATCATCACGGGGTGGGCTGTCTGTCGGCCATTGTTGGAGAGATTGGTTTGATCGCTGAAAAGAATTATTCCCAACGCCTCTCCACGGTCCTTGATGCGTTCCTGTAGAGCATGCATTCAATGCATGAGGGATTTGGGCTAGTAGATCACCTATGGGCTACTGACGGGTGATCTCGAACGTATGCCAGGATGTGGGTGACACGTACCTGGGCCTGCAGCATGAAATCAGTGTTCATTGCCGTGCTGTAACGCCGCACGTTGCCCACCTTCCACTGGGCAGGTTTTGTCTGAAAGCCCTGGATCGCGGACTGACGTGTGTACATCGCCTTAAGTACCTGTGGAGTTTATGGGAAGGTCGCAAAAAGGCGTGCAAGAAAGCTCGGTACGAGGGCAACGTGCATAGGACAGCATGAATTATTCGTGCACCAGGGGTCCTCACCGAGAGCACATTTCGGTGCCGAAACGTCAAGAACTCGACCTCGTGATCAACCGGGATCTCGGAGACAACCCACTCGTTCTCCTCCCCCACCTCGAATGAAGCCTCGAACCGCTCCAGGTCCCGGTGTGAGTTCCACCCCTCTAGCTGCGAAGGGTCTAAGTCTGGATCCCTAAGCAGCCGGATTGTTGCCGTGATGGCCCCGTTGCTGAATCCATGATTCCGTGACAAGATGCAAACCTCGGCCCTAGTGTCGAGCAACTCAGGCTGTTCTTCCGGATCCAACACTACCGAGTCACTATGAGCATCCTCCGCAGCCGGAGTCATATTAACATCTGGACCTGGTTCTGACAGGATGTAGGCGTCCTGCATCCCTGCCGTGGGCTGTGTGGGCAGCGGCGCGGACCC